AGGGTCTTGCTATGCAGTTCAGGCTGGCCTTGAGCTCACTTTGTAGCCCAGGCTGGTCTCGAACTTGCAACGATCCTCCTGCCTCAGCCTGCCGAATGCTGGGATTACAGGTGTGCGCCACCACGCCCGTCCTAATGTATTGTCTTATGTTGTGGCTTGCCTTTCCATGCATGCTTTTCTTTCCTCTCCAGATTAACATTGTTGACTGAATACCCTGTGGCAGGAGCCATGTGGTTCAACTGGTGTTTTACTTACTAGTTTCCATCTAGCAGCTAATACAATAACTGGCATGTACATGACAATGCCCAAATCATTTTTAAAGGATTGAATAACTGATGTGTATTGTCATTGTAAAGTTAAAATTAAGCCATAAAAGCAAAGTGCCTTAAATTTTAACTTGGAGGCGAAAACTAGCATGTGATTTTTATATGCACCTAGATCTAGACATACATAATTATGGTGACACTTGGTACCATAATATTTTGTGAAATTTTGTTTGGAACTTTGATTTGGACTATATCTCATTTACTGTGTTTTTACAGTCACCATGTTTTAAATTTACTTTTTATGTTTTTTTGTTGTTGTTAAGAGCAAAATGAATGTCCAGAACAAAGTAGGATGTAAATCACTTGTAAGGATCATGTTTATGTTTTGTGGTATAGACATGGGCAGTTTTTACATACTCCTCTCAATACTTTAAATCATAACAGAGAGATTGAGCTATATTTTAGTTGTGCAGCATAGGTTAGCATTATTAAAAATAGAAAGGTAGGCATGGTGTCACATACCTGTAATGCCAGATACTCAGGCAGCTGAAGCAGGAAATTGCAAATTTGGGACCACCATGGCAATTTAGCAAGGTCCTGTTTCAAAATAAAAAAGGGCCAGGGATGTAGCTCAGTAGCAGAGTATTGGCCTAGCATGCATGAAGCCCAGGGTTCAGTCTACAGTACTACAATGAATGAATGAATAAGATTGCTAAACATTGAGTACAGTGGATAAATCTTCGTTCCTTTTTGTGAAGCTTTTCTGACTCCTAAACTAATTTTTCACAGCCAAAGTAAATAGAGAGATAAACAATCAGATAGATTTGAGCGGTGTTTCAGTCTCTTGTTTCATATAGGTTATTTCCATTGGAATATGGGATTCTAAAGAATGCATGTAGTATATGTGTCTTTTGTTTTTGTTTTGTTTTGTGCGGCTGGAATTGAATCCAGGAACTCACACTTAACAGGCAAGTATCTACCACTGGGCTACATACCAACACTTTCTTAATAAACAGTCCAAAGTTAAACAGAGGCCAACTTAAAATAACTGATTCTTCACTAGAAGGGCCTAAATTAATGAAGTTTCCGTAAACTTTTCCTCTGATATCTTATAATGGCTAATGATCTAATATTGTATTCTTTTTTTTCTAAAACACTAACATTCTGGGTCGATGATTATGAGCCTTTTAGTGACTGAGTAGCCAAACTGCAACCCCAAACCCACTTATTTATTGCATAGTGCCAGCACTGCAATTAAGCCTGAATAGTGAGGTTTTAGTTTAGAAAAAAATAACTCATACATTAACATCTTATACAAACAGCTTTTAATTGAAAGGTAAAAGTTAGCTTTTGGCATGTTTTTGCACAGTTAATGTGATCTTTGCTGTTGTATGCGTGCTGATAATTTGTCAAATCTTGACTGTGGTGACTTGGCTTGCATGCCAACAAAGGGCTCTGGGGGCCTGCTGTAGCATGTGTGCCATAGGTTTGCCATCACTGCTGTAGATTCTAAGTATAGAAATGTGCTTATACAGTACCCTCCATTTTACTGATAAATCAATTTCTATAATTATGTGCTTTAAAACCGCGATTCTAAAAATACTACAAAATGAGGAATTATTACTAGTAGTTAAAACAGAAGTCTTACTTAAAATTAAGGCTTTGGGGGCTGGGGATTTAGCTCAGTGGCACAGTGCTTGCCTGGCAAGTGCAAGGTCATGAGTTCGATTCCTGGTACTGGAAAAAAAAACAAAAAAAAATTAAGGCTTTATCATTTATATCTCCTACTAACTGTATTTTTAAAACTTGTATGCTAGATTTAAACAGATTTCAAGTCTTTGTTACAAATTTAATGTCTTGGATTTTGTACATTTATAACACTCTTCCTATTTTAGGCATAAAGCTTAAAATTCAGTGCCAGAGTAAGTGGTCATTTGATTGGAAAATGGGCAGAGAAAAGTTCCATCTTCATCTACAGAATTTGTAGCTGCAGACTACTTAGATTAAACTTCTTTACAGTTCGAGTAAGAGTTTGGAACTGCATTAAGTGGAAAGAAACTTTAGTGCTGGAATACAATAGTATAGATACTAGTTGTCAAGCAAAACCAACACTCAGGGCTTTACTTCTGTAGAATCTGTAACTGATTTGGACTCTGTAGGGATATTATTAACTCAAACTCCTAAGCATAGAGTTTTAGAAAGGGGGAGGGAAGAACAACAGTAGCTCTGGGCCACAAGTTCCATGAGGAACTTGATGCCAGTGAAATTCCTTAGGAATATCTATCTCTAAGTTCTGAATGCCTCCCCCACCTGGAAATTTTCTTACATTTGTCTGGAAGCTTTGTCTAGTGTGGCATGAAGGAAATTTGTCTGGAAGTAGGCAAGGAGAGTCTGACTATGACTGTAGAGTGTAGATACTATCTTTCAGTAAGCATTTAACACAGGAATATGGCTGAAAGCTATCATTTTCCCCCATCGTAGCTACATAATTGAAATTTCACACAAAATTTCCATTCTTCAATTAGTTCAGAGAGGACATGTAGATCAAGGTGAAGGTTAAGTGTTTGTATATATTAACCCTGATAAGTTTTGTTTTAAATATATTTCAGTCTATTCTAATGTAACAAAGTTTTTCAGTCAGAATATTCTAGCAGCCGTCACTCAAACATTAATTACTGTCAATGGGAAAGGATATCCACCCACACCTTTTCTGGAGTGCTTGAAACCATCCCACTTCCTTTTTTCTTTTACCTTAAGAACTGATTACTGACACTTGGGAATTATAATCAGATTGCATGAATCTTTATGGAAAGGTTACCAATTATTGCACTACAAAATATGCATTTTCCCCTAATAGTGAGTGTTTCTCTCGTTGTGTCTCTCTGGGTTCAGTGCTTTTAAATACCTCCTAGAAGAATGAATGCTTTGTATTATGCCCTGATTTAATACATTGAAAGAAACTTTGTTGATGGGTTTCTTACCTCCAAATCTGGGGAAAGGCTGAAGAGGTGAGATTATTTAATGTAAAGTCTTCATAGGATCT